GGTCTTTGCTTTACCAGAAAGCCGGGACTGCCACTTATCTTCTTTTAACACAGGAGGATTTCCCATGTAGTTACATAACCCTAAACTTGCCAGATCTGGTTGGTCATGATTGGTGACAAGGCTCCCAGCAGAGCAAGTAAGAGTCCCGAGCATGAAGACCCTCAGACATCCTAGTCTCTGAGCACAAGGGCAGGGCAGGTAATTCATTCATCCTATTTATTAGGCCTTCCTGAGCCCACACAGCAATCATAAGGGAAATGTAGATTTAAGTGGTTTTAGGAAGGCCCAAGCTATTGAAATGCCAGTGATATAACCTCAAATGAGTCTCCTCTAATTTTATACTTCAGGTAAAATTCTGAAGGAAGGAGAGTGGATGACATAGACAGGACTGTTCAATGTTTATGTTTAAGAAGATCATAACAAGTACTTTCCTTAACCCTATCTTCAAAGAACGGCATGAAACTCATTATTGTTCTTTGGTTCTCAGTTAACCTCCCTCCACATATTTCTGTTCTCTACTGTCATCCAACCTCCTACTCCCTGAGGAGTTCCTTAGCTGCTTGAAGGCAGGGCCATTTCTCATTCATCTTTCATGTTTGTTGAGTGACTGACTGACTGTGCATTGAATTAGACTGGGATTTGCTGAGCAGGGTGCTTATTTGAGGTGGTGTCTAACAGGCTGTGGCTAACTATTACTGTGTAAAAATGAGGTGTTTTTTTTTTTCACTGTATTTATGGGGATCCAGAACACAGGATGGGTGGAAGTACTTGGTGTTCTTGTGGCTTGTGTACCATACTTTTACTTTCTGGAGTACACACTGCACATGATAAAAAACCTGATTGAATATTCGATGCTGCCTTCTTTCTGCTTTCCCCAGGGAGGAGAGTCTCCTCTACCAGAAAAGATTTATGTTCCTTTCTGTGCACCTGGCTGGGAGTTATTTCAGTGTTTCCCCAGGAGTTATTTCAAATACCTTCTCTCCATTTCTCACCACTGCCTCCTGATAACTAGGGAGTTTTGACTGAAAGGAGGAAAAGGTGCTTCAATTTAGACACTTGCTGACTGTAGAATGATTTCCAAGTGATCTTACACATTTCCAGCTGAATCAACAAAACAGGTATAAATCAGGAGGAAGACCGTGTGGATCTCTGATGGATCCTGCAGGAATTCTAGATTTCAGTGAGTTATAAATGCAGTTTACAAATACACAGAGAACTGAAAGGGTTTCCTTCTGTGCTTTTCTTATTCTATGTCTTCTCCACTCAAATATTTTTGTACTCGTATCAATAATTCAAAAATCTAAAATCAACATTAATTCTCTACAAGGTAAATACAGTGTGTGCAGTTGGAAATTGTAGATCTAATCTATATTTCATGTTACAACAGAAATAAATCTTATTCATATTACTTATTCGTGGGCTCACCAGTCTTTCACAATTTCCAAATAAGAAAATCCCTCAGCTTCTTTGTGGAACCAGGAATTTATGAGGAATCTTGTTAAATGGGGCATTTAACCATCCCTGGGTTATGCATGTGACTTATCAGAGAACAGAGAAGCAGACAGATTTCCTGTTTATAGTTTAACATTCCAGACCTTACCATTTCAAGAGGAAAGAAGGGAAAGTTCGATGTGATGGCGTATTACAATGGTATCTCATTGTTCTTCATTGTCTGTGAAACTCTGAGTAAAAAAAAAAAACTCCCCTTATCTAACCTGTCTGAAACCTAGCCCTTTGTTTTCAAACTCAGCATGGATGGAGGCTGCATGTGCAAGGTAGTGCATCAGAATTATGAAGTGGTGGGGACGCCTGGGTGGCTCAGGGGTTGAGTGTCTGCCTTTGGCTCAGGTCATGATCCCAGGGTCCTGGGATCAAGTCCTGCACTGGACTCCCCAAAAGGAACCTGCCTCTCCCTCTGCCTCTGCCTCTGCCTCTGCCTCTGTCTCTCTCTCTCTCTCTCTCTCTCTCTGTCTCTCATGAATAAATAAATAAAATCTTAGGGAAAAAAAAAGAATTGTGAAGTGGTACTCATTCTTGCCCTCATTTACTCAGCAAACATTTATAAAGCCTCTTCTAGGAATCAAACACCGTGGGCTGGAAATTTTTTTAATTAAAAAAATAAAATTTCTTCACCTGAGCTTTCAATCAGATTTAGAGATTTAAATACACGGTTACATTGCAGTGTGAACACAATGAAGGGAATTCTTAAATTCCCCTCCTTGGAGGCAGGCGAGTGTGGGATTAATGTCTTTTCAAGGTGATGTTGGATGGAAAAGTGTGAGATGGGGAAGGGTAACTATGTAAATGTGTATCTCTGTCTACATAGAACTTCTAGAAGTTGGGGAAACAGGTAGCTATTAAAATAGAAAATTTCACAAACAGAGGGTTATTTCAATATTAACTAGCCAATCCTATTAGATACAATGATATGAAATGTAGAAATAAGTGAAAACTCAAAGACCATCTAGATTGGCCCCTTCTTTTAAAGATGGAGACACTGGAGCTTTGCAGTGTAAATGAGCTAGAGAAGGTCACCCAGCTGCAAGACAATAGAACCAGGAATTAAGCCCATGACTCCAGATGCTGAATGATACTCTATTTAACAGCATCATATGCTCTGTTTCCCTTTAGTAATAGAATGACTCAAGATTGTAACATATTTGACTTTATTCAATTTTTTCTAGTATCTAATCATTTAGGAGCCTGATAAATGGAAAGGTGCTGCATACAGTCATTATTGGGGGTAATTCTCATTATTGGGGGTAATTCTCATTATTGGGGGTAATTCTCACAGATACGTAACACAACAAAAACCCTATATGCTGTGTAGGATGATTTATATTTGTGGTATAACAATAGAAATAATAATAATAATAATAACAACTTACATATAAATAATGCATTACACTTTCTGAAGTACTTTCATATGAATGAAATTTCTCCTCACATCAACTGTGTGAAGTAGCCATTGTTGCCTCCATTGTACATATTACATCATACATTGCCTCTCTAACTCATGAAATATGCAATAGATGCCTTGCCCCTTCCCATACCAGTCAGATAATTAATGAATAGTTGCTGAGACCTAGCACTTTTCTGGCATCCTTCATGGACACAAAGCAGTGTAGGATTTGGTGGGTTACCTTCAACACAAGCTATCAAAACTTCAGAAAACAACAACAACAACAATGAATCACTGAAATAGTAATTAGTAAAAGTTTATTGTGTATACACCAAAAAGACAGCTTGCAGACCAGGAGCACCCGAACCAAAACATGGAAAGATGCTCAGAGGTATATTGTTATACAGCAGTTCATACAATACAGAGGCAGTAACTGTTTATCCTTTACACTAGTGACTGGTTACAATATTAGAATTTTCTTAAAGGAAAGGGAATTGCTTAGTGGTTACTTCCTATCAATTTTGGGGAACAATTTAAGTTTCACTTATAATTACCATAGGTACCAAAGCAAGAAGCAACCCAGGTCAAGTTAACCTCCCTTGTCTTGCAAAATAAGCTAAATTAAGCTTTGTTTGTATGACTACACTGATATTGTTTGCTCAGAGAATTTTCAAGCCTGGTCTCTGTTGGTGTTTGATTTTAACAGTGCAGTGTAGGAGTGCCCGGGTGGTTCAGTTGGTTGAGCAACTGACTCTTGGTTTCAGCCCAGGTCATTATGTCATAAGTCGAGGAATCAAACCTTGGGTTGCTTCCTACTCTGTGGAGAGTCTGCTTGAGATTCTCTCCATCTGCCCTTTCCCCTCTCCTTCCTCCACTTGTGCATGTGATTGAGTGTGGGTGACCTCTCTCTCTCTCTCTCTCTCTCTTAAATAAATAAATTTTTTAAGATTGTATTTATTTATTCATGAGAGACACACAGCAAGAGGCAGAGACATAGGCAGAGGGAGAAGCAGGCTCCTGATGCGGAGCCTGATGCGAGACTCAATCCTGGAACCCCAGGATCATGACCTGAGCCAAAGGCAGATGCTTAACCATTGAGCCACCCAGGTGTCCCTCAAATAAATAAATCTTAAATACACACACACACACACACACACACACAGTGCAGTCTAGCTAAGGGAAACAGTATTGAGATGAATAAAATGTGGTATAACACAGGATAGGTTTTAATAAAAGTCCAAATGTTTAGATTTGGCTAGCTTTGAGTGCAGTAAGTGTTCTCCAAATGCCAAATTACATTAAGGAAATACAATACAAGCCCACCAAATGATTTATTTTGGAAATCCTAAATCTGAATTCTATCATCAATTTACTCTACATTATTTATCTTATTTCTTTAAGATTTTATTTGTTTGTTTATTTATGAGAGAGAGAGAGAGAGAGAGAGAAAGAGAACAGGAGGAGGGACAAAGGGAGAGTGTGGAGACTGAATTGGGCTCCATCTCAGGACCCTGAACTGAAATCAAGAGTCACACAGTTAACCAACTGAGCCACTCAGGTACCCTTACATTATTTATCTTACTTAATGCAACTTCCATGCATTGATGTTGCATTAATAACTTGCAAACAAAGGCAATTATAGAAAATCAAGAATAAGTATGCTATGATGCCAAATGCAAGATTGTGCAAAAATTCGTGTCCATCTTAAATTCCAGCAAGGGAGTAATATTCTTTGGTCTTGATGGATATGAAATTTAGACTTATCACAGATCTAGTTTTCAAAACCCTTTATCTATAAAACATTAATCCTTTGTTGCTGGGATATTCACTTTGCACCAGCAGACCAATTAAAAGTGTTACACAGGGGCTCCTGGGTTGTTCAGTGGGTTAAGCATCAACTCTTGATTCTGGCTCAGGTCAGGATTTCAGGCTCATGAGATAGAGCCCTATGTAGGGCTCTGCACTCAGTGGGGAGTCTACTTGAGATTCTTCCTCTCCTCGGCCGCTACTCCTGCTCTCTCTCTCACTCAAATAAATAAATCTTAAAAAAAAAAAAAAAAAAAAAAAAAAAAAAAAAAAAAAAACAAAGGAAAGAAAAGAAAAAAAACAGTTGCATTGCAGTTGGTTACTAAGGGGAGGATTTTAGATAATGCCCAGATCCCAGTCCAGGTAACTGAGATCTGAACACTTTGCATGTCATCACTGATTTTTTTAATAGCAAAATGTGCAAGGTGCTTTTTCAAAAATTAGTTCCATACTACATATTTTGAGTAATTTGAACTTGTTTTCTAAATTCTGCTGAAAAAAAGTTTATATTTTACAGAAGTTTAGCGTTACTTTATAGCTTTGTTTTCCCTGTTGCTCCACATTTTGCTATTTTGAAACCTTCACTTTCCCATATGTCATGGATAATGGCCAATTGTGATGCATTCTGTGGAAATAACAAAGATAAGAAGTAAACAGTTGCTTCCCTAACAAAAGACTTGATTATATCTGAGTTGATTTTACCATAGTATTTTCACTCCCTACTGTTACCTAGTGTCATGTTGGGGACATTTGGTACTCCTGATTTTGATGACCTTTCACTCCATTTTGACCGATAGCAACATAATAATAGCCAACATTAAATTTCTAACTTTGGAAGACCTTGGCACAGTGGTTTTCAAACTAGCCACATATTGGAATCACCTAGAAAAATACTGGTGCCTCGCTCTTACCCATCACCCACAGATTATGATGTAGTGGGTCTGTGATACAATCTTGGTATTGGGATATTTAAAAACTTCCAGATGATTCTAAGGTGCAGCCATATTTAAAGAGATACCACTTAGTTTAGAAGAAATATTCCTGAAAGCTTGGCTGGAGTGACTTATTCAAAAATTAGAAATAATCACAGTCAACATGAAACTGAAATGGTCATTGATAAAATCTAACTACTGTGCTACCTTCTAAGCAGTAGTGTGATAGTAAGTAGGTTTCTTGATTGTTTTTTATACCTGTACAAATAATACTCTTAATAAATTTAGCCACTTGGTGTGGATCTCAACAGCTCTGAGATCTTGTGAATTCTCTTCATTTTGAGGTGTAATAAAATGACCTATTTGAACATCATGTTCAAATTTACTAGGTAAATAATAATGACAAAAGACATCTCTCTAATGCTTTTCCTATGCCAGGCACATTATATATATATTACTTTTTTTTAAATCTCCCACAACTCTTTGAAGAATGCTGTATTATTATCCCCATTTTTACAATGAAGGAACCAAGGGACAGAGAAAGAAATTAAGGAACCACTGATACATAGCTAGTAAGCAGCAAACTGGAATTTGACTCAGCAGTCTGATTGCTCTTAGCTACCATGTTATACCAAAAAGAAATCTTGTTCTATAAAAAATAATTGTGAATTGGTATTATATTCTGAGACTATCTTTGAATACTGCAGAACTTTAGCTCCCTCTCCCGCTGCCGGTTGTTTGAAAATCTGTTTCAAATCTAGCAAAGTATAGCACCTGCTGAAATGATCATTTTATCTTCCTCATTATCAGTGTAGTTCCACTTTTCCTGTTACAAAAACAGAAACTGCTCATGACTTTTGTATAATAGAGCAATTATGTTTATTGGGGAATACATTTTATTGCAAGTCGTATTACTACAACCTCTAAAAATAGCACCATGGTTTTAAGACTCTCCTTTTTATGGGTTTATCGAGCTGGAGCCAAAAACAATAAATAAAAAACCACACCTCGGTTATGATGCTCACAGACACATGTTGACCAAATGCCCAGGGACAGAGAAGGACTTGCCATACCTCAGTTATGATGCTCACAGACACGTGTTGACCAAATGCCCAGGGACAGAGAAGGACTTGCCAAATAGGGCTTTAAAAAAATGTTTTTTTGGAAATAACTTTAAACTTGCAAAAAAGTTGCAAGAACTGAACTGCTACAAAGAAAATATATATAGCTTCTAGTCAGATTTGCCTATTGTTAGGTTTTGCCCCATTTGCTTTATTAATTGCTCTCACTAATGTATATGCATACACATGAATATGGATATATTTTTTAAAGTAAAAAAGTTTTTAAAAAGTAAATTGCATATATTACAGCCTATTACCCCCAAATACTTCACAGTGTGTATTTCCCAAGAATAAGGATATTCTCTGGCATATTCACAATATGCTTCTAACTCTGTTTACCATCTATATTCCAATTTATTTCAATTTACCAATTAACCTAATATTGTCCTTTGGAGTATGTCTTTTACCTCTTGTCCAGGATCTAGCCTAGGATCCCTTACTGGATTTAATCATCATATATTTTGAAAGTAATTTAATCTAGAACATTTCCATAGAGCCTTTATTTGTCTCCTATGACAATGCCAGTTTTGAAAAATTCGATCAATACCACCCTCCTTTTTTTTAATAGAACATTCCTCATTTGGGACATCTGGGTGGCTCAGTGGATGAGCGGTGAACCTTTGGCTCAGGTTTTGATCCCGGGTCCTGGATCGAATACCACATCAGGCTCCCCATAGGGAGCCTGCTTCTCCCTCTGCCTGTGTCTCTGCCTCTCTGTGTCTCTCATGAATAAATAAGCAAAATCTTAAAAAAAAAAAAAAAAACATTCCTTCTTTGGAATTTGTCTGATATTTCTCCATGATTGGATCCAGATAGGGATTCTGGACTGAAATACTACATAAGTGATGTTCCTTCTTAGGGTATCATATCTGAGAGCCTAGGTCCCTGCCCCTCACTGGTGATGTTAGGGGTGATTACCCAGTCAAGGAGTTGTCCAATTTTTTCACTGCATAGTTAAACTATTTTTTCCTCTCATAACAATGAGCAGTCTGTGAAGAGATACTTTAAGACCAAACTAATATCCTTCTCCTAATCAAAATTTCCCTCTAGATTTAGCACCCATTGGCAATTTTTGTTTGAGCCAATATTTACTGTGGGGATTAAAAAATGATGACTTTCCATTTCTAGTGCTCCTTCCACATTTACCGGTCAGCCCACAGCATTCTGCTCTAAGGAAAACTCTTCTCTTTCTCCCTATTATCATTATGGATTCTTGGATCCTTATTTTTCCTTCAGTGGTTTATAAGCTACGATTTTTTCACAACGATTTTATTTTTCAAATTGCCCCAGCTTTAACCAAGGGGAACACCTCCAAGCTGTCTCCCATATTTTGATGCATGCCTCTATTGTTTTTTTAAACACTTCCTTACTTTCTGGTATAATAAGATATTTTAGGCTCATCTTATACCTTCCCTGACCTCACATTGGAATCAGTTGTTTCTCCAAGGAGCCCTCATTTCTTTCAGTGGGGAATGACATTGGACACTAAGATCTGGGCAGTAGGTGGACTCATTCCTACTGAGGTGCAATTGCTTCTAAGCCCTCTGGGCAGATAGAGCTAGGAAATATATGGGTGTATATACACATACACATAAATACATGTATATATACACACATAAATGCATGCAGATATTCATGTTCAATTACAAACACATATGCACATATATATGCATGCCTTAGAAACCACAAATTTACATCTATTCCAGTCCATTCTCACGTGATTCTTTCCTGCCTCCTTCATTCCATATTCATATATTCGTCTTCCATAGTGAAAATCCTGGCCCCTAACAACATCAACACATTTGTCATTTGCTCAATCATACAATACATCTGAAAGAGTTTCGTTATTACTTGGGCACAGTAGTCCCTATCCTGCGTGTCAAAAATCAACTAGACCCAGTAATTCAATGCCTAGTTATTTATCCAGAAGGAAGGAACTCATATGTCCATCAAAAGCCTTATACAAGAATGTTTATAGCAGCTTTATGCATCATGGCCAAAATCTGGAAACAGCCCAACTGTCTTAAGAGAAGGGTAGATACACGAACTGTGATATACTTATGCAATAGAATACTACTTAGCAATAAAAGAGCAAACTACTGCTACATGCAACAATATGGATGAACTTCAAAAACATAATGCTGAGTTTAAAAAGGCAGACAGAAAGAACACATAATGTATGATTCCATTTATATGAAATTCAAGAACAGGCAAAAATAATCTAATGGCACACTTTTAGAGATATTACAAAAAACAGACAAGTTTCTAAGAGGTGTGTCCAAGGAGACAAAATAAAGTGAAGGTTCAACAAATGACCCCTCTTCATTCTCTAGCACTTTGGGACTTAGCACAAGTTACTCTACACTGGTTCCTCTTTTATAAAATGGGGACAATAATAGTATCTACCTGATAGGGTTGTTGTGTGAGATTGTGCTAAATATGGCAACACAGCATCTAAATCATCTGGGAGAGAGTAAATGAGCTTGGCACACAACACACGTATACCACTTAGTAGCTGTTATCTTCAGGATAGGATCTGTGTTCATGCATTGCCCTATACATGTATACTGCTGGTTGCGTTGTCCCCTAATCCCTACAACATTCAGGAAAGAAATACAGAAATAGTAAGAAACCATCAGTTTTCCATATTTACTTACTAATCCTTCTCTTAGAAAAAATATTTAGCACAATCATGTATGTACATGAAGGTAATTTTTGCGAAATAATCTGTAATAACTCCAAACTGGATATAACATAAAAATAGAACAACCATATTATAAAATCATCATAAATTGGTATAGCACCTGTTGAAATGTGGGAGACTCTTTGTTAAAGTTACAAAAAGCAGAATGTAAAAAAGTATGAGGGCCGTGGTTGCAGGTAAGTACAATATGTTCGTATGTACAAAGTGATAGCTCACACCGTGTAGGATGGAAGCAATTGTTTTCCTCTTTTTAAGATTTTAAAAAACCTCCTGGTTGCTTTTTATTTAAAAAAAAAGCATACTTTTTTGAATTAAAGATAATATTCTTTGTATAAAATCCAACACATTAAAGAAATGTGTAATGTAAAAACCCAATGACAGAAACCAAATCACTACTTGCTTTTGGTGGAGGTGGGACAGGGCAGGACATTGACTGGGAAGAGGCATGAGAAAACTTTCTGGGATTAGAAATGTACCATTATCTTGATCAGGATGTGAATTATATGGGTGCATGTATTTGTCACGATGGATTGAACTCTACCCTTAATATCTGTGCATTTCACTGTCCATAAATTATCCCTCAATTTTAAAAAATCAGCTGGAGTAGAGGCTGCCCTTTTAGCTGAAATAGAACTCTGCTTTAAAACAGCTCCTTCTTGTAGTTTGTTTCACTTCTGATCCTCCTCCCCATCATCCTCCTGTTACCCCAATCAATACATTTACTTCCTTTTACTATCAGATTATTTGCTTTACTATCATTTCTGTATACAAAGTACAACACGAGTTAGAATTTCACAGATAATTAAATCACAATGTCAACTATTTAGGTCTGGCCAATATACATACTTTAATATAGTAAGGAAATGCATGTAAATTAAAAATGTTTAAACAACACTTAATTTTAGATTAATCCTCAGTTTAGGCCTTTAACTATCTGATCTATTAAGACAAAAGCAAAAACAGACAAACAAATTGCAGTATAGTCGGGTCTTGCCAATGAAAACTGTTGATTTCCAACCTCAAATGATCAAATATCACTTCAATGAAGAAATGATTTTTCTCAGACCTTCTCATAAATCCGGGTGCATACCACGCCCTTCATTTTACATTCCTTAAGAAAAAAGAGAGATTCATTGAGTATCTAAAACTCAAACTAGGGAACAGCAAATCTGCACATAGCAACAGAAGATAAAAACAAGCTCATGAGATTAAATTTAGAAACGGATAGAACATCAGTATGTCAGTTTCTGGCGATTAGGAGTTACCATCATTGAAATAGGAGAAACAGTTTCGAAGTCAATCTATTTTACTATGGAAGAATTTTCTTAAAGTGGCAAGTTTTTATGCATAATTTGTGTGCATTTAAATCTACTAAAAGTGGATTTCAAAACTATATGCACATTTGTTTCATCTGAGGAACATTTAAAAATACTGTTGGCTCCTTTTCACCCAAGAGATTTGCATTTAATTGATTTTTGTTGGGGGCCCCATATTGTTAATAACTCCCCATGTAAATCTATTTTGTAGCTAGGGATAAGAACCTCTAAACTAAAGGAAAACACTTAAAATTCACGAATCCATAGTCAGTGTATGTATTATTAAGCACAGAAGATAAAACTTAAGAAAATTAAAGGCCCTGATCATCATTCTTTATCTGCTGACAAAAAGGTCTCCTTGAGCTGAGCTTAAATTATTGACATGGTGTACTCCAAGTTTGGATTCTTGAAAGTAAAAAACTTAGATATTTACAAATATTCTGTAATTGAGTCATTCGGGGTTTGTTTTGCTCTTAAAACTTAGACTTGCTTTTCTCTTTGTAAGTACAAACTGGTGAGATTTATCCATATTCTTTAACTTTACCATTATTTTTAGGCGTTCTTTCTAAAATTTTGGACCAATACTTGAAGTACTTATAGATGAGTCTTCATGGTTGAAATATCATCTAACCGTTAACTCTGACATTATTACTTAGCCATTTGTATTGCAAAGAAGAAAATCTTGAAAATAATATTACACATTTCTTTATTTTAATACCATTATTTTGTATTTAGAAGTGAAACTACTCTTACCACTACCATTTTCCCATCCACCAACTTTCTTTTTATTGTTGTCTCTTTGCCATCCCATTTCTGCACTTGATTCAATGAGCCTCTTGACAAGGTTACAATGCTCTGCAAAGACAAATTCATATAATCGAGTTGTTTGGATTTTGGTTGACCAGAGAAATTCATTCACTATTGAATTGTTTTCATAATAGATGTCTCATGAAGCACATTCATTTTCTTATTTATTTATTTATTTATTTATTTATTTATTTATTTATTTAGATTTTATTTATTCATGAGAGACACAGATAGAGAGGCAGAGACATATGCAGGGGGACTTGATCCCAGGACCCAGGGTTGACGACCTGAGCGAAAGGCAGACGCTCAACCCCTGAGCCACCCAGGTGCCCCTATTTTATTTATTTTAAAGTAGCCTCCACACCCAGCATTGGAGTCAAAATCAAAATCCTGAGATCAATAAGGAGCCTCAAAGGCATATTCATTTTCAATAGAACAGAGTGGTCTACCCTTTTGAACACTAACAGGAGTAATCCTCTCAAATCCTAGAATGAGCCAACTTTGAAGAGAAACATTAAAATTTACCTTTGCTTTCCTGTTGTCAGCTGTGGTTTCTTCAAATTCCTGACCTAACTTGAAGGAGATCTCTGTATTTTTGAATGTACTCTCAGTTCTTATAGTTATAATATCCCCTTTCTTGCTGATGATCACACGGGGTTTGGCTAAATTTCCCAGTTTTCTGGTGGCTAACCCCACACCTAAAAATCAAGATAGTGTTAGAATTCTTTTGACAAAGAGTTATACCTAGAGAGACTGTGAATGGCCACATTCTGTGTTCAGTTGTGCCTCAGATGTGGAGATGGCACGTAGTATCACTGACTCCTGAGGACCTCCTCCCACATTTCACCACCTAATGGAAATACCTGCCCATAGACTTAAATATTCTAGGTTTTATTATTACAAGAATAATGTCTGCAGATTTTAAAGAAAAATACATTTAGCCTAAATAGTTCAAGTCATCCACTTTTACCACATCCAACCCCACAGGCCTTGAAAATCACCGATCTTTTGTATGGATCATTCCAGACATTTTAGTTTCTGCATATAACTATTACAGGTATTTTTAAAATGAGACTATGACAGATACCCACTATTCTATGATTTCTTCTCCTCAGTAGTATATTATGGATATAGAAAAGAATTCCTCCCACATCCTTAATAGAATCTCGTTGCTGAAATTTTGTCATGGCCCCTAAGCTTAGCTGGTAGAAAAAACTATCCATCTCCTTTCAAGATCTGTACCATTATACATGATCATAGTTAATGTTATTTTTAAAAAATGTTCTGCATTTGAAAAATGAAACAAAATTAGACTCTTGGGTTTTATTACTATTATTACTAAGACTATAGAAACACATGGAAAAGGAGAAATGTCAAATGAGAGAAATAAATGACGGAAAAACTAGTTTTATATACATATAAAAAACTAGTTTCATGTGTATATATGATCTCTGCAGTAGGGTCTGAAAATGTACACTATACTAAACTCCCAGGTGATCTTATGCATTCTAAACTTGAAAATGACAGAATTACGGAGTCTTTCATTGACACTCTTGTATTTTTGCTTCTTCCTCAGCTATGAAGTCAAGTCCATAAGTCTATCCAGACTCGTGAGTATGGATCTTCCCCCATAATTTCTAGTAGTTTTCTAGGCAATGTGACATGATTTTGCTCATTTTACTTAAAAATACAACCTTTCTCATAAGCTTTCTGAACAGGTAAGGAAAGTTACAGGCACTTTGACAAGCATAGCAACCAGGATCATTGGAATGTCTTCCTATTATATTTATACAGCTCTGGAAATTTCCAAAGATACTTCTCACCTGTTGTCCTCATATCATGGAACATTCTCTAGAGATAGTATAAAGTTGATAAAACTTATAACTAGATTTTTCCATCTTCATCCATTGCTCCACCTCTAGGAAAGTCTGATGTTAGCCTAACATCAGTAATTAGTGTAAACATCTGGTTTAGTCAAACACCAAAATTTTAAGTTGAAGTTTCTATTAACTTGAGTATATTCAGCTACTTATTTTATGAGAACTTCAGCTGTTATAAAATGAACCTTCAGGAAAGCCAGAGGATGGGTTGACTAAGCCTCTAAAATCAAAGTCTTACTGATATGAAACTACCTTATCTGAAACCACCTTTGAAATCAGTGGAGGTTCCATATAATTAAGCAGCTCTTAAGTTAAAATCTATTAAGATTTCCACAAAGTGTACTAAATTATTGGAATGACACAATAGAAGATTAATTGCAGGAAAGGATTGTACTTCAGCCTGTGTAAACTTCCCCAGAGTCCTAGAAAAGGAGTTAGAAGGATATAGTCATGCAGTCTTCTCAAAAAGGATCTTCTCAACCAGAGCAACAAGGAACATTTCTTACCCAGAGCTTTCATGTAATCATCAAAGTGCTCACTGGAGACAAGTTTCCAGGTGCCCAGGAATCTGTTGCTCATGGTGACGGATGACAATTCAACACACTTCTAGATGAGACTTAGGAAACTCAAATGAAATGCTGAAGCCTCAGAAGATTCTTTTCAAAGATGTCCAAAGCATGTGACTCTCACAAAGACCCAATGGGGAAAAGCAGTGTCAGGACTGGGCAATGAATTATCCAGTAGGACAAAAGAAATCCCTACATAATGTTTCCTTTAGTCTCCAAAAATTTTTATAAAGATCAATGAGAGTACTCTTTGGACATTCAAAAAAATTTTTGGTCAATCTTACATTTTTAAGAAGTGCTTAGTCTTTAATGCTTTGGAAAAGACCCCATGAATTGAGTCCTATATACCAAACTAAATTATATGAGCATGAATGAGAGAGAGAAAGACTGAGACTGTGTGTGTGTGTGTGTGTGTGTGTGTGTGTGTGTGTGTGTGTTTAGGCATCTTGGTCACTCCCAATCCTGAGTCTGCACAATTAAGAATTCTTATTGAAAGAGAAGAAAGAGAGGAAAATGTCCATGAGTATTGTGATAACCGCCTCAAATATGTTGTGGGAGAGAAATGCAGGGAAGCAGTGTGAGGAAGTATTCATAGGTAAGGGAGGCTTGGCATAGTTCACATATCCCAGGCAGGCAGAGTAGGCGACAATACGGTCAGTCTATTACAGCAGAGCACAGAAATTGTATTCATAGGATGGATAAGAAGTAGCACTAGAGCGTGATCTTTGACCACAGCAAAGATTTCCATCTAAAAAAAACCCTTAAGTCCAAATTAAGCAGGCCCTTAGTTAATACAACTACTTTGAGTTTAAGCCCTTAAAATAAAGATTTTATAAGAGTTTTATAAAGAGAAGGATTTTCTATACAAATAATACTGGTGTATACTAAGAGCTTCTTATGGGCCAGTCGCTATGCTAAGTGCTTATTACCAATTATTTCATTTAATTATCTCAACATATCCAAGAGTTAGGTACTATTATTATATCCATTTTGCTGATGAGAAAACTGAAGCTTGGGGAGGCTAGGTAACTTGCTCCCAAACTTCTCATTCTCTCGAATGAGCAAAAAGCAAGGTTTGAACATGACATTGTTCTCCAGCCTGGACCCTGGACCATTATCTTACACTGTTCTCTTTATACCACATATGCAGAAAGGTGTTGGCCAAAGGTCAGATGATACTGACATCACCATAACTGGATAGAGACTTTCATTCTCTGCCCCCAAATCAAGAAAGGTGAAAATCAAGAGATGAGGCACAAGGCTACTATGGTACATCAGAGCCCTCGTGTTTGACCAGGAGGAGCAGATATAAAACCACTTCCAATTAAGTGTCCCTCTTGGGAATACCTTCTTGCTGCCATACTTTTTCCTAGTGGTTTCCTACACTGGCATCAATCCTGACTGTGAGATACTGATATTACTAGATTGTAAATATTTGTACACAGGTTGGCACTCTTCACAACAATGGAAAAATATCCCATCATCAGTTTGCTCATAATAGGCAGGATTGCTGGCCTCCTGGGCTCACGTTACCAATGTCATAGCTGTTCTATAACCAACGCACTTGTGTCATTAGGGTTCAAGTTGGGTCAAAATATGGAATCTTATACTGTGAGTCTGAGTCTCGTTTTACATTACTCGTGCATGGATAACTCAAAGTGGGAATGAAATAGTGACGAAAAATTCCTCAGCTAACCAGCTAACCCAGTGCTAGACCTAAGAGAATATAACTGGAGAAAGGACATTGTACTGGGAAAGAAAAAACAGCTATGAAAAAAGGGGCTTTTAATTAGAGAATGTGTTATTTTCTCTCTCTCTCTCTCTCTGTTTTTTGAGATTTTATTTATTTGAGAGAGAGAGAGAGTGACTGAGTGGGAGAATCTGTAGAGAGACTCTGAAGCAGACTCCATGCTGAGCGCAGAGCGCAATGTACGACTTGATCCCACAACTGTGAGATCATGACCTGAACTAAAACTGAGTCAGTCACTTAACTGACTGAGCCACTCAGGTGCCCCAAGAATATTTTATTTTCTTATCCAACCCACTTAATAAAAATGAGTGATGGTATCACTTGTGTCCTCAAAAAAAATTTTTTTTGTGATCCTACTTTATCGAGAAGTATAGCATTCAACATTTAGGTGTTCTACCTAAATCTGTGAAGAACTCTCAGACCACCCTACTTGAGATGAGCCCTTGTATTCAGAGGGATTGATATGGGAGAGCTGTATGAATTTTCAGCAGTTCTGGTATTGCACACAGAAATAGCCGTGGAATTAAAATACAAACATTGAGCTTGATATTGGCAATGCTTATAACTTTGAAGCAGTTTTAAACAAAGAAAAGAATTTTCTATTTTAGCTTATCATCAATGTACCTGACTGCCGGAAAGAACTAGATTTATTCAGACAGAGATAAAATTCTGGGGCTCATATGTGAGTCAAAGGTGCAGATCAAAGCAATGAGCAAAGATCCAGACTGAACCAGGCTTGAGACATTAAATCACTCCTAGCTAAGAAAGACATCAGTGTCCTAGCGAAAAAGAATAGATAATAAACACCAGAACCATATTATAACTAGATATATATATATTTAGACTTGAATGAAATATTTGTGAAATGGATCTACAGTAGTCTGTTTACAGTATGGATTCACCTTTCACAGATTTATTGCCTACGTAAATTCTCCTGATAAGGGGAGCTACTTGATTCATACACTGAAAAGAACATCCAGAGGTCCAAACAAAATAAAGAAAACTTCCTCTATATATATGTCATGTAAATATTCCTCACATATTGTCTTCAAGCTACATCCAATTATATATTTGAAAAAGTGGTAACCAACTGTCCAAAGAATTCATGATCATCCGCTTGAGTGCCAAAGATCTGACTCCATTCCTTTCAATCATTTAACTGCAAAAGTATTGAGAGCCAGCTAAGTGCTACTAAGTTCAAGGTTAAACATCATTGAACAAAATTCCATGCCCTTTTGGAACTTACTTTCTATATTAAAATTATTACATAGTGTGAAATTGTTTGTAAAATAGAAATACTGTGATCATAATTAGTAGAATGAAAAGCACACCAAATAATATGTCACTATAAATAAAACAGTCATTTTTAAAAATAATTGAATAAACAAATAAAGACTTTACAATTTTCACTTTGGGGGTGGCTCAGCAGTTGAGTGACTGCCTTTGGCTCAGGGCATGGTCCTGCAGTCCTGGGATTGAATCCCACATTAGGCTCCCCTCAAGAAGTCTGCTTCTCCCTCTGTCTAGGTCTCTGCCTCTCTCTCTCTCTCTGTCTCTCATGAATAAATAAATAAAATCTTTAATAAAAATATAATAAAATTTTCACTTCCTTATGATAGATGAGGAAATTAAGCTAACTTTCCAACTATGACACCTTAGAAAAAATGGATGATTTTTTAAAATTTTTCAAGGCATCAGAGAGATTAAAAGAGAAAAACTAAGGGTCTAGGATTTGGGTGAAAAAGGAGAGGCCAGAGAAACAGTCCCAATATTTGGGGCTATTCCCCCCTAGGGAGTTATGAATTCTGCCAAAGGCAAATGAGAGGCAAAAGCCTGAGGAACATTTATGACTAGGGGTTACAAGGGTTAGGGGAACAATGAGGGAAAGTCCTAGTCACTCATCGTGCTTTGGTTTGGGACTTTGAAAGGTTGCAGCATGGGGGGGAAAGTGAATTAAATAGGTCTGTGCTAATATCAATTCAATTCTTAAAATTAGTGTGGTCTGAATAGCCAGCCAACCTAGCTACCAGTCAGAAACAAATAAACACTCTCCAAAAGAAGATGTCACCAAAAGTCTAAATTATTCTATAATCTTTCATGTACACTGTTAATAAAGACAAAAAAATAGAGGGGCATCCGAATGGCTCAGTCGGGTAAGCATGAGACTCTTGTTTTTGGCCCCAGTCGTGATCTCAGGGTCCAGGGATTGAGCCCCACAGAGGCTCTGCGCTCAGCCCCGAGCGTGCTGGAGATTATTTCCCTCTCCCTCTCTTTCTCCCTCTGCTCCTACCCCTGCTCACATGTGTGTGCTTGCTCACTTGCTCGCTCTCAAATAAATAAATAAATAGAGCATAGAGACAGGAAAATATGCTCAAAAAGCAAAGGAAACAGGAGTCCACAGAAATAGATGATTAACAGAGCAGATATTAGTAAAATAAAAACAAGCACATTATAGAAAATATCATCAAAACCAACAGATATTTTGAAGACCAATAAAATTGAGAGGCATCTGGGTGACTCAGTCTGTTAAGCGGGAGACTCTTGGTTTCAGCTCAGATCAAGATCTCAGGGTCTTGAAATCGAATTCCACATCAGGTGGTGAGTCTGCTTGGGATGCTCTCTCTCCCTCTGCCCTTCCCCCGACCTTGCACACTCGCACATGCTCTGTCTCCCCATCTCTCAATAAATAAATAAATACATTTTTTTAAAAGAGGCTGATAAAATTGGCAAACTTTTAGCAAGAGGGACTTTAAAAGAAGAAGGCAAAAGTTACTGATCACAGGAATAAAACAAGATATATCAGTATATCCTACAGTCACTAAAAATTGTAAAACATCGTAAAAAAATAATATGCGCTACTTCATGCTGATACATTTTAAGATTTAAAAACAATTTTAAATTTAAAGAAAACACAATTTACCAAAAATAATATAAGACGAAGTAAAAATGTGAGTATTCCCAAATCCATTATTATTGAATCTATACTTAAAATTTCTCTCACAAAGATATTCCCGGCCCATAAGCCTCACCACTGAATTCTGATAAATACTTACAGAAAAAAATAACACTCGTCTTGCACAAAATCTTTCAGAGAATAGAAAAAAAAGTACTAATTTCCAACTTGCTTCTTCCAGTCTTTGTACATGCTCTTCTCCTTTCCTAGAATGTCTAGCCACACCCATGTAGTTAATCCTTAACCTCAGCTCAATCACACTTTCCTACCCTTGGGCTGACATCCTTTAGATTTCAACTCAATCATCTTTCTTAACCTTGTCTAGTATAATATCATTTAATAGTTATCACAAGGGCAATTTTTACTAATTTTGGATATTATGTATCCAAACGTATATCACCCCCTGAAGTCTTGATTCCACATAAGTGGGGACAACATGTTACGTTACTCAGGTAGTGTCCCAAGTACATAACACTATGCGTGGACACAGTCAATAAATATTTGTTGACTGACTGAGAAAATATAAAATTTTCTACTTATGGGGGTTATTGTTTGCCTCAACTCATACAATAAATATTCTGAAAGCCTCTAAAATAATATTATTGATCAATAATATTATTCTCCTAAACTTCCTCCTCTCCCTCCCCTGCCTTTTCTTTCTTTTTTCATACACACCAGAAGCATGGAAAAAAGCACTGGCTCTGGGCCATAGCTAAGTGTGAAACTTAATGACAGCATTCATTCCTTCATTTGGTCACTCATATAGTCAGTGGTAAAAGCAAGTGGTTCTTTCTATGTTCAAGATGACACGAGCATAGTATACCCCTGGGAAAGCACATGTGAGGTAATTCCAAGATTCATCATACCTATTCTCACCTGCCTGCATGCAGACGATTACTCAACACACATTAATTAAACTGGGGTAGCACAGGAGGGAACATAGTGAGTGAAGCACCAACAGTTCCTGCCCATATGGCCTTATATTCTAGTTAGGAAGATAGACATTAAACAAACATTCAGAGACATATTAGAATATTCAATTATTATTTTCTTTGTTTTCCCATTTATTGTTTTCTATCATTTGCGAATGGAGATAGTGAGGAAACCATTAAAGAGCCAATGAACCACTATTATCTAGAAAGATCCCTCATGGAATTATTTAGACACCAGATGCTAGGATACTGATGATCTGATTTATCTTCAGAACTCAGCCACTAAGGCCTCTGATGCCTTTCCCAGGCAGTTATTTCACAGGTGACAATGGCACTTTAGGCCAGATATCTTCCTAGTATAGGTTTCATGTGTTTTTTTCTCTACCTGTAACAATACAGAGATTATAGTTGCTAATGCAAATCTTTTCTTGCAACTTCCTTAGTCACCAGTGGGTATTTGATCTTTTGGTTGCTATGGTGACAGTTGCTGTGACATTTATGCTGCCCAAAGGTGGTTAATAGCTTTTCTTTTGTTGAATGGCAAGAGTCAGAAGTTGTTTTTGATTCCTCCAAACAATACATTTGGCTTTGTTTTTACTAGACTTGAGCAGACATGGCCTCTTTTCCAAAATCTAGTCTAGGATTTCAAATCATTATTCCTGATAGAACACCTGAGAATTAAAGTTCCTCATTTACTAGGGAGGAAATAAAAGACAATTTCTGCATTCCCATTTCTTTTGTTAGTCATTATAGTATATACTGAGTTGGCCACAGTTTTTCTCTTCAATTTGCATTTTTTTTTCCTCTTAGTGAGAAAGTGACATTCACAACATTAAAGTAGGCTGTGCTTCTCAGGCATTAGCATAAAGAGCCATAGGAAATACTTTTTAGGACTCAGCCATCTGTTCCCTATATCTCATGGGAGAAAGGAATCCCTGAAAAATAATTCACTTGCAAAGCATAGTAAGAAGTGTTTGGGTGTCTAGCTTTATTTCATAAAGAACAAATATAAACTCATAAAAGTTGAAGTGATTTTTCTAACCATGTCTTATATAGCTAACCTGCTTTGTTTCCTACTTTATTTCTTTATTTCCTATCAAGGTTTTCAATAATTGTGGTGATATACAGGTGTTGAGAGAAAGCATTATTTACACACACAGACACACACTGTATTTGCTCTAAATGTTCAGTTTAGAAATCTTAAGACTTTAGGATTAGGTTACTTCAGGAAATACCTCACCCTAATTTTCTGCCTACACAACTCTGTGAAGTAGACTCCATTTTGCAAAGGAGAAAACGAAAGTGGTTAAGCAGCTCATGGAGGTGTCTACAGCCAGGGTTCAAGTGCTGCTCTGACTGGTTCTCAAACCCCATTCATTCCACTTCACTGCAGGGTACCTCTAGGGTAACATACAAGTCCCATTCGTAGCATGGGGCTGGTGTCTAGATGGTTCCTCCCCAGTCTTGTCCCTCTCCAAAAATTACACAGGATCTAGATATCAAACTTCAAAATGGACAAACTATATTTTCCCTAAACATTCAATTTAGAAATCTTGACAACCTATAACTTTGGGATTAGGTTATTTCCTGATATTTCATCCTAATTTACCATGTATTCTTTGTTATTATCTTTGGAATAGTCAGTTATCTTTTTATGGCCAGTAAAGAAAAGCGTGATCTTTTATGTTCACTGCATTTTTGTACAAAAAGTATGAAAATTAAATACACTAAGAATATTCAAAACAAATCATTTTGTCAATGATTTACTAAATAGTATTGGGTAACAAAAAAAGAAATCTAGTGAATTATTCTTTGGTAGTAGTATTAATCATGAATTTAGTATGACTGACCTTTGGATAATTAATACTTTCTCTAAAACTTCAATGTGGATTTGAAACATGATGGTTTACTACTAAGTCATTCAGGTTAAAAATATCTGAAAATAAAATATATTTTCCTGTGTGGCTTATAAAAACTACTCTTACTTCCTTTATTTCAAACCCTTTTGGAAAGTAAATAAATAATGGATTTTTATTGCTAAAGTCACTATAATGAAATGTTCCATTATCTCCAACACAAGTTAACAAATATGACTGGCTATTATTCACTTACAGATAGATCATGATAAATCCAGTACAACTTGACAAACATGGTATGTCATCATTTACTTATACATAGACGATGACTTGTGAAGGCAGGGCAGATATACCAGGAGACTGATCATGTGAAAGTCCTTAGCAAAGACAAATGATTCTAAATATAAATTTCACTGATTTTATTTCCTACAGAAATTTCGACATGAGTTGACTGAGAATAAAAGTCAAAGCAACAGGGTTTTGAGATGCTGGGCTACTTGTGACATCAAAAGTTGTGAACTCCATCCTTAACATGTTGCTCTGTTCTAGGACCTACCATGGTTTTGAACGGTTGTCAGAGTAAGAATTTGTTAAGTGAATTATTTCCTCAGGAGCAGCATGTTTGATTCTACCTACTAAAGACTCAGCATCAGGCTTTTGGTTCATCTAGGTTCTTTGTACTTTGATCTATAGCATAAAGGGAAGGGAAATGTCTTGAAAATTCAGAACTATATTAATTCTTGTCTTAATTATGCCTCTGTGAGTCCAAAGATGTTTTTAAGATTTTATTTATTCATGAGAAACACACGGAGAAAGGCAGAGGCATAGGCAGAGGGAGAAGCAGGCTCTCTGATGCACGGGAGCCAGATGTGGAACTCGATCCCAAGACCCTGGGATCACAACCTGAACCAAAGGCAGACACGCCCCACTCAGCAACCCAGGTGTGCCCAAAGATTTTTTTTTAAGAGTTTGTTTGTTTGTTTATGAGAGAGAGAGAGCACAAGCAGGAAGAAGGAAAAGCAGACTCCCACACGAGGCTCCATCAGGGCTCAATGACCTGAGCCAAAGACAGATGCTTAACCAACTGAGCCACCTAGGCATCCTATAAACGCAAAGATGTAAATGATTAACTGCCTAGTGCTTTTTAGAGTAGTATCTTCTTCCTGATGGTTGAGAGGAACCCTTCAACTTCTGCTGCACCTCTGTGTTCACCTTGCAGAGACTGTCCTCTGACAAATGAACCATTGGCCCATGTTCCTCTTTGTGCAAGAACACCTTGGGGGCTGAGAGTCTCTTTGACTTCTGGAGGGCAAGCGTGGCCATATTTTGTACACACTTGAGGAAGGGTGGGCACAAGTCCTATGGGAATGAGTGTCACTGCCCACATCCAGCAGCTGTGTGGCCACCAGCAAGTCCATCATTTCAGGTGCACAGCTGTATGCTTTTGGTTTTAATATGACAATCCTAGTTCCCTTCTTTGGCCTCCTTCCTTTCCTCCATTCAGTTCTTGCCCCAGCCCCAGGCCAGGTGCCTTTGTATATTACCTTGCAATTTCATCCTTAGGAAGGAGCCTAGGGCAGACCCCAGATCCCATTCACACCTGCTGTCCAAGTGTAATTACTAATACAGCCCCTTTCGGCTGTAGACAACAAACTACATGGACATTCTACTTTAGCACATATGAAACATAACTCTCAGAATTTATTTTTGATCAACTATTTTTTTTAAACTTAAGGTGCAATATGATATTTACATAATTCTTGCTCTTTCCCTTTTTCCTCCTCTAGGGTTTTCAGGCTTTCTGCTTAAATTTTACCTGTACTACTCTGTTTTGCTCTAAGCCCCTCCTAGCAACAGCCCTTCATGAAATTATGAAGGGACTTTGTGTAGCTCTAACAATTATATATACAAAGCATTGAGAAATTCAGGCCTGGCATGTAACATAATATCATTCTGCAAAGACTAAGCTGTCAACAGTGAGGGCAGATGTACTAACCTGATTATTTCAAGTGGGCTTATCAATAAGTAAGACAATAATTGCTTTGAATGTTCTTCTATAAGAGTTCAACCACAGGTTATGAGGTTCAGGCTCTATTTTGTGTTCCATCAATCCTAACTACTTTAAGCAGAGCCTCCTCCCTCTGTAAAAATAAAAAGCCAGCAGTGTGGGTTTTCAGCATCTGTGCTACCCAAAGTAGTTTCCAACAATCGTATCTCCAGTGCACTACCTCCTCTGTGGGTCACAGGAATTTCCACAGAGCAGCCCTTTGACTGAATGTCGTAACCTAAATGGAACAGGTCTGCCGAACAGAACTCAAGGACTAGGGAAAGCAGGAGGACAGAGGCTCAGGGGGCCTTTGGTGCTCTTCTAATCATACCACAAGCAAGAAGCTTCTCACCTCACCAATTAATCAGTTTGTCCCCAGCCCTCACTGTCACACAGCTTCAAAACTGCACTTAATTTGTTGGTTTTATTGAGCAAATTTATGTTGAACAATTTTTTAAATCACTGGCCCTGAGATATATCTTCTTCATGCCCCAGCGTTCCATTAGTGAACAAGTTTCCATTATGCAGATACTTTCTTCAGACCTTTTCATAAATTCGAGTGCTGACAGTCTTATTCATGCTATATTCCTAAAAGCAGAAAGGGATCTATTAGAGTTGGTGGATGACAAGTTAAACTTGCTCTGTCCCTCCTTCCCCAGACTCTCAATTCAGAATGCAAAACAACTGAGTAACTTGAGAAGCATGCGTCAAATAGGAGTATCTAAAAAATTCAATTTATAGAAAACTCACCACTACCATTTTCCCATCTACAATTTGTCTTTTGATTGTTGTCTCTTTGCCAAGCCACTTTTGGACGTGAATCATTGAACCACTGGTTAATGTTATGATGCTCTATAAATGCATAAAGGAATCAGTTAAAAATAACAATTCATGATACTCTAACCTACAGAAGACTAGATATCTACTTTTTCATTTCTATTTTGACATTCTTTCCCCCCATAATCCCTCCTCAGTTCTTGTCATAATTTATTTGATTTAATATTAAAATATTTATTATTAAATATTATGTTATTAAATACTGATTAAAATCACTTAATTTAAATATGACAAACTAGAGAAGTCTCAAGAGATTATTCAATTAATGCTCTCCTTCCGCAGATGAACAATACCTAAACTGTTTGTGAATAAACTATATGCTTTTTTATACAGTGACAAAGAGGGATCAGAAAAAAGTGAAAACTTGTCAAAGTTTTTGGCCCTGTTAACCATCAGAATAATTTGCAAAGGGGTTGACTTTAGAGACATGAACAAAACAAGCCCAAACTGACTTGGTAATTAATCAAACTAGGTATGAATGAACCATGCTCAGCCACCTTCTGTTTTTTTCTGGATTGTGGAAAACCAAGAAGACTTAGTTTTTACCTTTACTTTCCGGTTGTCTGCTGTGGTTTCCTCAAATTCTTCCCCCAGTTTGAAGGAGATCTCAGTGTTTTTGAAGGAACTTTCTGTTTTGATGTTCACTTCATCCCCATTGGCACTTATGCTAATTCTTGGCTTCGCTAACCCTGCCAGGTTCCGGGCTGCTGCATTCATTCCTGTAAGGCAGTGTGCCTTCATAAGACATTTAGGAAGTGCTAACAACTATTTTGGAAAGCAATTTAAAAAGAATATATATTTCCTCCGTTCAGGTTTTGGGTAATGTGTCATAATTTTTTCAGTCCTCACTATGATAGCTGGGTTGAGCCAAACAAGCCCATTCAGAAGGTCTATCTAGTGGTTACACTTGACATTTTGAAAAGCTCAATTCACTTTTTGAGGCTATTGTATCTTGTCTAAAATCTTCCAGACTCATGCTTCATCTAAAATATGTGTCTGTGTGGTGCTTTTCAGGGGATCAAAACTCATGCTTTAGTTGGGGAAGTGTTACAACAGTAGTGCAGAGGGTGTTATTATCTTTATTTTAGAGATGAGTACACAGTGTCCCAGAGAAGCAGAAAGGCTTTTTGTAGGTGATGTGTCTGGTAAGTAGCATAGCTGAGATTTAAACATGGGTTTTCTAATTGTCTAAGAATTTTAGCACACTTAAAAAAAGCAAAACAAGAAATATAATTTTCAGTTTATATAAACTATTCTGAAAGATAATGACTTAATGAAGTTCCAGCTCAGGGGCATCTGGATTAGCTCAGTTGGGTGAGTATCTGACTCCTGATTTCAGCTCAGATCATGATCTCAGGGTCATGGGATTAAGCCCTGAATCAGGTCCCTGTTTGGTGTGTCTGCTTCAGATTCTCAATCTCTCTCTCCGTCTGCCCTTCCCTCTGCCTTTTTCTCTGCTCTCTCTCTCTCAAATAAATAAGTAAATAAAATCCTTTAAAAAAAATGAAGTTCAAGCTCCTCTCTTATTTGCAGATTACATTCAGATCTGGCCAAGTAAAGAGGAAGTATGCAAACTAGACAATTTGGCTAAGAGCCTGGCCAGATTGGGGAATGACCATTGTCAAACTTGATTCCTATAATAGGTACACAGAAGAGCTGAGTCCTCTCTCTCAGTATCAATATTGAACTTGGTTTCACATTTAGATTGTGGAATCAATAAGACACATCTGACTTCAGAGAAGCAGTGTCAGCTGTGGATCACAGAAGAGAGAGGAGTGGGGTGGTTACAATGCAAGCTTTGCACCTGTGAGCCCAGGTATGTACTTTCCTTCCTCTAACCTTTATATTTCTCAGTAGCAGATCATGGATAACTATAGTACTTGCCTCCTACATATGCTAGGAGATTAAGTGAAAAGACTTAGCATGGCAATGGCACACAGTGGATGCTCAGCTATTAATCTCTGCCGAAGTCCAGTTCCCAATCAAAACAAGTGCTGCTCTTGCTATAAGCCCAAAGTTCCTTAGATGCCCCCAAATTTAAACTCAAAACAGGTGAGTCTGAATCCATGCAGAAACAGGGAAACATGTTCTTAAATATGTTCTCTAGCTCCCTGAGAAAATTGATATTGAGCGTGAAAAAGGGACAAACATTACATTATGTACACACTGACTTATTATGCATTGATCAGCTCAGCCAAATTTAAAGAAGAAAATAAAGTTAAAAAATTCTTGGCTTTATATACAGTTTATTATTGCAAGGGAGACTTCTCTTAATTAAATATTTAAAAATACGTAATCAAATATTAAATAATTACCATTCTTCTACCATTAGTGACAATAGTTGAGTTGTTATGGCCCTCAACCATTTTAATTGATGTTTATTCAACTTGAGGATGGAGCTAAAGGATGAATAGGGTTTATATTTCTGAGAAATATCCAGTGGTGAGACATTTGATGAGTAAAAATGTTACATTTCTTCAATAAAAAATTAGAAATTCTACCAAATATTTTAAAATATCGCCTATATGTATGAAGAGTCTAAATATTAACCAACTGGAAATTTCATTTGTTGCTATTGCTCTTTTGAAGTTATAACTTAAAGCAAACCTTGAAACAAATTTAGCTGATGAATTTAGTTATAGATACTATTACCATCTATAAATTTGAAGCTAGGAAATACTATTAGTTGAAATGATGAAGCCAGAGAGAAACTCTAGGGTTTAGGATGATACTTTCAAAAAGAATAAATGGACTTAAATATATGGATAATGACTAGAAGGAAGTATCTATGAATAATTTTTGTATTCCAAAAATTATTGCTAGTAACAAAAAAAATCAAAAACAGATACATAAACTTTGTTAATCCTATAGACTATTTCCTCCAAACACAAAAAAGAGATCTGTAGGAAAATTCATTGTAAAATGCAAACCTAACCACATCACAAAATGTGTCGCCAGTTCCCAAATCTCATAATGGTATTTCTTACCCAGTTGTTTCAAGTATTCCTCAAAGTTTTCACTGGAGACCAGCTTCCAGGTTCCCAAGAAGGGCTCAATCATGGTGGAAAGCTTGCTGAGAAGAGGCACTCACAACCAAAAGCCAAAGAAACAGGGAACGCTGTGCTACCGGTACCTTAATTTAAAAGGCATCTTCATCATGTGACTTTTCTGGAATGACCAATGGGCAACAGCAAGACCAAAGAGTCTAGGTACCAGCAGGACTCATTTTATTTACCTCCAAATTAAGAAACAGAAAATCAACATGTAAAGTTGAATTTAAGTCAATGATTACAGCTTCTAGGAAAGAAGATTTACACCCCCAAGTCACCTGCTAAATATTATTTGTGGAATGGAGACGATTTTCAATACATCAGCCCTTTGAAATTTGAATGCTGAGTCAACTCTAAAGGAAGATCCCAACAAGTGTCCAATAAACACCTGACTAAGGTGGTTTTCCCACCTGATAATAGAAGCGCATCCTTGCTTGGTCCACCTCAGCTGTTTTTTGTTTGGACACGTCATGGTGCCAGAGTATACTCTTCATTAAAATAATATCCTCCCCTCCCTTCCTTGCAGGGTTGATGAACTGATATTAGTTAATGTAACTGAAGTGTCTTCAGTTGCTCGGAGTGAGGTATAGAGTATTATTAATATTATCATTGCTGTTCATCAAGAGTAATTGCCCCCTGGGAACAAAGGTAACAATTACCATTGAATCGTGTTTTGTGACTTAAGTCCTAAAAAGGAGGTGGAGCTAATGCTTGGAAAATTCATCTTTCAGGCTTCCAAAGTAATTGTGATATTAAGATACCACTTGAAAAAAAAAATAAAAGATACCACTTGAAATTGTGAGGGGAAGTTTTAGAGAGACAAAGGGCATCTTGATATCTGCATTCTAAAAGACAAGGCAGTAGAATTTAAATCTCTGTACAATTACTTTTAAAGTCATCTTTGGTAACCCATGTAATATGGACTTTGCAATTTTGCCTTCACTGAGAAGGATTAGATTCCATGGCTCTGGATTTACATCTCAGCTTTGAATTCCAGTTGTTTTGAAGAAAGCTGAAAAATCAGGCACCAAAAGAAGAATATTCATCCTATATTCTGCTTGTGTCAAATATTTCTTCAATTCAAAGAAATATTTATGTAAGTCATCTATGAAAAAAAAACAAATTTAAAAAGAGGTTGATGCTTTGGCACCATAACATTATCACCTAAGTGGGGTAGGGAATTTCTTTTGATGATAACATATAAAAAAGGGATTTATAATGCAATGTCTTTTTATTTTAAGATTTTATTTATTCATGAGAGACAAGAGAGAGGCAGAGACATAAGCAGAGGGAGAAGTGGGCTCCCTTTGGGGAGCCCCATGTGGGACTCAATCCCAGGACCCCAGGATCATGACCTGAGCTGAAGGCAGACACTCAACCACCGGCCACCCAGGTGCCCCTATAATGCAGTATCTTTATAGATACAATAGTTACTAAAATACCTGGAGGGCAAAACAAGGGAAGCAAAAACCCTAGAATCAGTTTCAGGGAACTGAGACCTCTCCCCAAAATACATGCCTTAACGGTTGAAAGTGTACTCAGAGATGATGTTCAAATAAGGAACAGATCATATCTTGCTTTACTGGTTCTAGATGAGTATTTACATTCTCTGCTTGAAAGATAGCAAGCCACCATGGCTCTCTGTGTCTGCCGGTGGGGTAGTGTGGCATTAGCATAATCATCCTTGTCCCAGTTTCCCTTCCATTGACTGATTCAGAAATGAAACCTGTGGTCCATTGAGAACTCAGTTGTCCCATGAGACAAATGAGAAAGCAAAATTTCTGGCCTCCATAAATTTCCCTTAGCCCTAAGAGAAAGAGGCCAAAGGATGTTTCCTCTTCTCCTCTGCACATTTTGCTTTTCTGTATAACTTAGGACGGCTGCAGCCATTGTGGTACCAAGTCAAAGATGAAGCCAAAACTGAGGATGGCAGAGTGGGAAGTGGGGAAGAACTAAGACCATTTTATTTCTGGAATTTTGAATATGTAAATTACTGAATTTCATTATTATTGAAACAGTTGCATGTCTGAGTTTTCGTTACTTGCAGTTTAAGCCTTTGTCATCGATAGGCCTTAGCAAATAGCTTTACTTAAATGATTGATTTGGATGCTCAAAAAACCAATCACACGTATATGATACTGTCCTCATGCACAGCAACTCCCATCTTTCCAGGTCCGACTCAAACATCTTCTTCTCTGTGAAACTGTTCAGAGCTAATTGATCCCTAGTATGTAGTACAGTTATACTTTCACAGAAAAATATTAGAGAACATTTCTTATAGTATTGCAAGTAGTTATTTTCCAACTTGTCCCTGGAGTTATTTTACAAGTGCATCAAGCACAAAAAAACATTCCTTACTCCTCTCCATATCCCAAAGACAGTGTCTGCTATAGGGTAGGTGGTCAATGAATGTTTTACGAATGATTGACAAAAGGAATAAACAGGTTTATTTCATTTTAATTGACAGTTCCCTTATTTCTGATCTCAATCTCTCCAACAGTGACTCTAGGCAAGCTTGTAATACATTGGCCCAACCTGCTCACATGATAGGTCTTTTATTACCATCATCAGACAGTAGAGGGATTCTCAGATTCTTTCTTTGCTCTGTGTCTCTTATTACCATACGAGGAGTCTCTTCCCAACAAAGTAAGTGCTACCACCACTAGCCTTTGGCTTTTTTTTTTTTTTTTTGTCTGATCATAAACACAAAACAAAACAAAAAACACCATTCCCTCAAGTAAAAAAAAAAATCAACTGAGAATGTTCTTAATTGCTAATCCTAGCAAAGGAGCTAGAATACAATAATTTGGTATGGAACAGTTAGACATCTTGTTTTCATGACAATTACAATGTCTGTTTCTCCATTATCTCATTTTTATATGTTTCTCCAATATCTCATTTTCTATATGAACTTTTTCTTGTGATAGTTTAGATATTAAGTAGTTTTTAATAGAGTTTGATGTTTGAGGTGCCACATTCTCCACTGGCGAGAAATAGTGGTAAAAATGAAAATATATCAGCAGCTACAAAAGTATTCAGAAGTATGTCTGGTAATTTATTTCTGTACATATACTATTTTATCTGGAGCCACATTAGATTTATTTTCAAACTTTTTATTGTAAAATACACATATCATAAAATTAACTATCTTAAACATTTTTAAATGTACAGTTCGGCGGCATTATGTTCATATTTTTGTACAGCCATTGACCACCATCTATTTCCAGAACTCTTTTCGTCTTGCAAAACTGAAACTCTATACCTACTAAACAATAACGTGATTTTCCCTTTCACCCAGCCCCTGGCAATCACTACTCTACTTCCTGTCTCTATGATTTTGCCTACTCTAAGCACCTCAGATAAGTGGAATCATATAGTATTTGTTTTGTGTGTGTGTGACTGGCACATTTCACTTAGCATAAATTCCTTAAATTTCATCAAGGTTGTACCATGTCAGAATGTCCTTCCTTTTTAATACTTATTAATATTCCATTTGTATGTAAGTACCACGTCTTGCTTATCCATCTGTCGGTGGACCTTGAATTGCTTCTAAATTTTAGTTATTGTGAGTACCATTGCTATGAATATGGGTGCACAAATATCTCTTTGAGACCCTGCTTTCAATTTTAGGGGTAAATACTCAGAAGTAGAATTGCTGGACCACATAGTAATTACATTTTTAATTTTTTGAGGAACCATACTGTTTTCTACAGCAGAAAAATCATTTTACCTTCTGACCGATGGTACACAAGGGTTCCAATTTCTCAACATCTTTACCAACACATTATTTGTAGTTTTTAAAGATTTTAAAATTTATTTTAGAGAGAAAGAGAGCAAATAGGGGTAGGGGCAGAGGAAGAGGGAGAGAGAGAATCCCCAAGCCGACTCCTGTTTTTGAGCAAGGAGCTCAAAATCAGACCCTCAGATCATGACCTGCGCCTAAACCAAGAGTCAGCCTCCCAACTGACTGAGCCACCCAGGCACCTCTGGTTTGTTTTTTTTAATAGTAGCCATTTTAATGGATGTGACGTAGTATCTCATTGTAATTTTGATTTGCATAATCACTAATGATTGGTAGTATTGGATATCTCTTCATGTACTTATTGAACATTTGTATATCTTCTTAAGAAAAATGTCTTTTCAAGTCTTTTGCCCATTTTTAAATCAGGCTGTTAGTTATATTTGCTATTGAGTTTTAGGCGCTCTCTATATATTCTGGATATTAATTCCTTATCAGAGACATGATTTCCAAATATTTTTCCCATTCTGTGAATTGACTTTTTACTCTGTTGTTAGTATATCAACACAATAGATAGACACAGATTTTTAATTTTCATGAAGTCCAGTTTGTTGTTGCCTGTGACATTGGTTTATATTCAAGAAATCATTGCCAAATCCAGTGTCATGAAGCTTTTACTCTATATTTTCTTCTAAAAATTTTATGGTTTCAGGTCTTATATTTAGGTCATGGATCCATTTGAGTTCATTTTTGCATATGGTAATGGTTCAGCTTCATTCTTTTGCACGTGATATCCAATTTTTCCAGCACCATTTGTTGAACACCGTCCTTTACCCATTAATTAGTCTTGGCACATTCATTGAAAATTATATGACCATGTATGTGAGGGTTAATTTCTGGACTCTCTATTCTAGTCCATATATGTCTGTCTTTTTTTTTTTTTTTATGATAGTCACACAGTGAGAGAGAGAGAGGCAGAGACATAGGCAGAGGGAGAAGCAGGTTCCATGCACCGGGAGCCTGACGTGGGATTCGATCCCGGGTCTCCAGGATCGCGCCCTGGGCCAAAGGCAAGCGCCAAACCGCTGCGCCACCCAGGGATCCCCATATATGTCTGTCTTTATGCCAGTATTACACTATTCTGATTATAGTAGCTTTGTAGTAAGTTTTAAAATCAGGAAATATGAGTAATCCAATTTTATTTTTATTTTTCAGAATTGGCTCTTTGTGGTCCCTTTAGATTCCATATGAATTTTAGAATGGGTTTTCTATTTCTGCAAAAAATGTCATTGGGATTTTGATGGGGATTCCATTAAATCTGTAAATAGCTTTG